GAGAGATGGAGCTTAATGGTGAAGTGCTTGTCCAGCATGTGCGAGAGTTTTAAGTTCATTTCCCAGTACTGGTACTGCAAAAGAAAGAAAATAAAAGACAAAGACAAAACAACTTAAAACAATCATATCTACAGTGACTAAGTGTCCTAAAAGATGCATCATGTGTCGTTAGGTAGCCAGTCACGATGGCACACACCTGCGGTCTAGCATTAGCCTGAAGGCTTACAAGTTTGAGGCAGGATTAGGCTACATAGAGAGACTAACTCATGCATGCACACATGCATGCATGCACGCACGCACGCACGCACGCACGCATGCACGCACGCAAAGCAAAACAAAACTCCAAGTTGGGCTTGGTGCAAACACAATCCAAGCAGTCTCTGAGATGTGGAAGCTGGGGCATCAGGTCTCTGAGATGTGGAGGCTGGGGGACCAGGAGTTCAAAGTCAGCCAAATAATTTGAGGCCAACCTGGGCTATATGAGACCCTGTCTCAAAAACCCCAACCTAACCCAACCCAACCCAAACAACAACAAACCTCAAAGCAAACTAAGGGAGGAGTGGGGATATAGGAGGAGAATATTTATTTACACAAGTTCAACTCAGGTCCAAGCTAGCCTGCTATCAGCATACGATGCTTTATGTAAACCTTGTGGTAACCACAGAGCTAAAACCCTTAGTTAGACATACAAAAGAGAAAAAGAAAGTTCAAAGCATGCCACTTATGGTGGTTAATCTTCATTTTTACTTGACCTACTTTAGAATTCCCAGGGAGAGGAACTTCAGGGCACGTTTGTGAGGGTGTTTCCAGAGAAGGTTTACTGCAACCAGAAGGCCACCCCTGGATATTGCGCAACAAACACCTCAAGGCCTGGGCCCCAGATGGAACAGGAAGACGCAGGCAAGCAGAGGACCAGCATCCATCGCTTTGTTTCCTGAGCTGCATCTAAAGCCACTTTGTCGGCCTCATGCATTTGCCAAGTCAACAGCTCCTTCCTTACGCTGCTGTTTTTTTTAATTTATTTTTATTTTATGTGCATTGGTGTTGTGCCATGAGTATCCTGTCCCATGGAACTAGAGTTACAGATAATTGTAAGCTGCCATATGGGTGCTGGGAATTGAACCCAGGTCCTCTGGAAGACCAGCCAGTGTTCTTAACCACTCAGCCATCTCTCCGGCCCCTCCTGATGTTGCTTTTGGACAAGTATTTTGTCACAGTAACTGATATGACACTACAGTGGGTATTTATGGACTAAACTGTTGAGCCAATGAGTTTTTCTCATCAACAAGGATGAACATCATCTGTCTGTAGTGTTGATAAATGTCCTAACATTCCTGAGGCAGTTGTACAATGCCACGTTTACCCAGAATCATTTGTGCACAAGAAGCGAACATGTCCTAGGCCCTTTTGGTTGGAATGGCGTGAGCATCCACTCAAGGCACAGTGCATACTCAGACCAACCAGATTCCTGTACCTTTGTCTGAACATGAACTAGGCCAATTATACAGATCCCCAGAGACTTGAGATTGGCAGTGTGGCCCAGGAGTTTGCTCAGGAGTGTGTTTGTCTCCATTTAGGTATACCTGAATAAAGCATTTTGGGTTTTATTCACTGATAGATAAAACTCACTTTTTAAAAATATGAGTTAGCTGGAGTTAGAGAGGTTTGATGGTTAATTCAATACCTAATTGAATTAATTAATCTTAATTCCTAATTAATCCTAATACAAAATTAGGATTTGGAATTACCTAAGAGGTACAGGTCTGTGCATGTTTTGAAGATGTTTCCAGAGTGGCTTCACAGAGAAAGGAAGACCTATGCTGAATGTGGGTAGCACCACCTGATATGAGGGTGCCAGAGTGCGTAGAAAGGGAAAGAGAAAGCACATTTGTCCCCTTGCCCAGCTTCCACAGGCTGGCTTCCCCTGCAGCATGCAGTGTGCCTTTGTGACAGACTGTGTCACCTGGAACCGAGTCAAAAGAAACCCTTCCTTCCTAGAGCTGCTTCTCATCGGGGATTTTGTAACAACGGTAAGAAAAGTAACTGAGTCAGTGTGAAAAAAAAAGATGAAACACCACCAAAGTAAAAAGGATTGGGTTGAATTCCAAGTGGTAATCTCCCAATCCACTGTGGGAACTAAATGAACACTGATCGGCTTTGTCTGATGCAGTTTGTGATGGTCTTTGCTTCTGTGTGGAACAAAAGGATGCTTTTAAGAGGGGATGGACGGACATTCAATCCTTCCTATGCTGTGGTTCCTGAGAGGATGGGCTGAAGAATTTCCAAACTGATAGAACTTAGGTGGAACACTGTTATTCATTTAAAAAATCATTGCTTGGTAGGACTGAGCTCCCCTGTCTGCCAAAATATGTGTTAACACTATAGCTCTCATGCTGGCGATGTTTGGGGTTGGAGCCTTTATGAGGTAATCAGGTTGTGATGAAATCATGAGAATTGGACGAGATTGGTGCCCTTTGAAGAAGAGTCCCTGTCTGTCTGTTACTCTGCCTGTATACATGGGGAAACAGTCTTGTGAACTCATGTGAGAAGGTGTCCGGCTGTTTGCAAACTCAGAACTGACCACACCAGTGCCTTGGTCCCCTTACTAGTCCCCAGGGCTGTCGGGGAAACAGACCTCTGCTGTTGAAGCATGCAGGTGTGGGCTATTTTGTATGGGAATCTGAGAAGACCAAGATAGGATCTTGTTTCAGACTCAGGTCAGCAATGTGTTCTCTCTCTCTTTCAAATCCTCATAAGGGTTTATTTTACAATTTAAAAGGTAAATTACAAGGTATTCAAATATATACCCTCAATCTCTAGGACAAGCCTGGGGCAGAGAAGATCAATTGTAAGACTTGGTAATTCATTCTATGTACCCATTTACTTAGTGTGGCTCATTGGGCTACTCTAGGAATGGAGAACTTATTTTTTAGCATCACATGTCTGAATGAAGGTAGTGTTTAAACACAAAATGAAAAAATTTCTAAGTTTTATGATAAAGAAAAGTGTGGAGTAAGACATCCCTAACTGTGGTGATATATTGTGTACCCCAATAAAGCTTGCCTGGGGATCAGAGGACAAAGCCAGCCACTATATTAAACATAGAGGTCAGGCAGTGGTAGCACATGCCTTTAATCCTAGCATTTGGGAGGCAGAGAGCCATCCGGATCTCTGTGAGTTCAAGGCCACACTGGAAACAGAGCCAGGTGTGACGGCACATGCCTTTAATCCCAGCACTAGGAAGGAAGGAAGATGGCAGGGCACAGAAAGGTATATAAGGTGTGAGTAAGCAGGAAGTCTCTCTCTTGAGGCTGAGGATTTCGTAGAGGTAAGAACGTGGCTGGCTGTTCTGTTTCTCTGATTTTTCAGCATTCACCCCAATATCTGGCTTCGGGTTTTTTTTAATTAATAAGATCTTTTAAGATTTGTGTTACATCTACCTTTATTTATTTTTAAAATTTGATTTATTTTGTGTGTATGGTAAAAATATGTTCATGTGTACCACATGCATGATTGGTGTCCATGGAAGTCAGAAGAGGGTGTTGGATACCCTGGAACTGAAGTTACTGATGGCTGAAAGCTACCATATTTGGGTGCTGGGAACTGAACCTGGGTTCTCTGGAAGAACAGCAAGTGCTCTTAACCACTGAGCATCTCTCCAGTCCTGAGAAATTCCCACCTTATAAGTCTGTGCATATTTACAGTGAACAGCCTCTTTCTGACTCCTTGTCTTTATTGTCAGAGTCCTCTAGTGTGTGACTTACAGACCACAGCAGATCTATTACCCCCAGGAGTCCTGCATAGCTGAGAACCCATCTCAGTTGTGCCCTGAAAGCCTTCACACCCGTGTGTGTAAATGTCTGAGTACAGGTAACAGTAAATATGTAAATATGGTTATCTAAAGGGGTGCTAGTTAACTTTACACATAAGCCCTAAACAGAGACAACAAATAGCTACTCCCCAGCCTCCCAAACACATCAATGAAAAATGTTGGACCCACTGTGGAAAACAGCAGCTACCAGCTGAACTCACCTTGCACCATGCTCTAAGCATTGTTAGCATAACACAGTCTGTTACCCGGGTACTGGGATTCTAGATTCTCCACGGTCACATGGTTAAATGTACACTTCTGATATATCTGTGTGTTCCTATCTATGTTCATGTGCAGAATAAGTAGGTAAATATTATTTTGGGCCGGGCGGTGGTGGCGCACGCCTTTAATCCCAGCACTCGGGAGGCAGAGCCAGGTGGATCTCTGTGAGTTCGAGGCCAGCCTGGGCTACCAAGTGAGCTCCAGGAAAGGCGCAAAGTTACACAGAGAAACCCTGTCTCGAAAAACCAAAAAAAAAAAAAAAATATTATTTTGGAAAGAGCTTATCCAGAGCCATGTTAAAAATATGCAGTTGTGATCTTTTGAGAAAATTTTATTCTTCTGTGTGTATGGATGTTTTGCTTGCATATATGTATGTGCTCCATGTGCATGCCTGGTATCCAAGAAGACCAGAAGAGGGCATTAGGAAGTTACAGACAGTTGTGGAATGCCATGTGGGTGTTAGGAATTGAACCTGGATCCTCTGGAAGAGCACCCAGTGTTTGTAACCACAGATCCATCTCTCCAGCACATGATGTTATGTCTGAGTATATATGTGTGTGTGTGTGTGTGTGTGTGTGTGTGTGTGTGTGTGTGTGTGTGTGTGAGTGAGTGTGTATGTCTCTATCTAATCCTCAGAAGGGTTACTCTTAAGGACCCATCGTGACTGTGTCAGGATGTAACATGTCTTAGGAACATGGATTCATTGAGGACTAATCATACTTCTTACTTGGCTATTGTATGCGCCATCTTTCTTATTCTATCTCTGCTAAAGTTTATTCCATAGATTTTACTTTCCAGAAAATTTTGTACATGGCACCTCATTTTGGAAACTTCATAGATGCATCTCCATTCCAGCCACCCCCTTTCCTCTCTGCTTCACTCATGGGATACTGTGCCAACATTCTAGAATATCTGAAGTTAGAGTCTCCTCACCTGCTCAGCCCTGGAGGCTTGATAGCAGTTCATTAACCTTGTGTATCCATTGCATCTTGCTTTATTAGATTTGCTCATTTGGCTCCTGTGTTATCCTGAGAAGGGTGGTAATTATCAGTCATTCTGGTAAGCAGATCAACAACTGTATAATCTGCCATTTGAATTTGCAATCTCTGGCCACCTTGATGGTGTAAAGCCGGTCTGGTCCTGGGTCCTAGCGATGGGTCAACAGCCTTGGCGGTGCAGAAACGGTTGAACCATCTGCTTTTCAAACAGCTGTGTTCTCTACCTTGCATGAAGGCGGGACTTTTCCTGTGCCTTTGTATCTGGTATTATCTGTGCTCTAATGTCATGTACTCAATGTTGAGAAACAGGTCTTACATTATCTTTATATACCAAAGAATGGAACTAGTATATGGAGAGAATGCAATTTGCCCATTAAGTCTTAAGATCTAGTACCTGAGGAGTGGTCTAGTCAGCAAAGTGGTTGCTGCCCAAGCATGTGGACCTGAGTTTGATCCCCAGCCCCCAGGTGAAAATCTGAGCTGGTGGTGTGTGCTTGTGACCGCAGCACTGGGCGAGCAGAGACAGGAGGATCCCTGGGACTCAGTGGCCAGACGGGTTCCTGAATTGGAAACCTTTAGATTGAGTGAGAGACCCTGTCTCCAAAAGCAAGATGGAGGCTGGCGAGATGGCTCCTGGGCGTGGCAGTTTGAGTTCTCAGCTGGTGGCACTGTTTGGGGGAGATCTAGGAGATGGGGCCTTGCTGGAGGAAGTGCATCACAGGGGTGAGTTTTGAGGTGTCAAAGCATGGAGACATTCCCAGCTCACTCTCCTGGCTCTTTGCTTGCAATTGGAAGATGTGAGTCCTCGGCTTCCTGCTCTAGCCGCCATGCCTCCACTCCGCCATCGTGGACTCTTACCCCCTGGAGCCACAAGCCCAAACAATTCTTCCTTTTATAAATTGCCTTTGTTGTGTTGTATTGCCACAGCAATTAATGCAGCAGATGAAGGCACTTGTCACTAAGCCTGGTAACCTCGGTTTGATCCCCAATCCCACACGATGGAAAGAGAGAGAATGAACTCCTACAAGTTGTCTTTTGGCTTCCACATGCATGACATGTATGTGGAATACACATGTATTCCCTTGCACATATAAAGAAACGAATGAACAAAAAGCAAGATGAGCTCTGAAGTTGGCCTCCAGCTCCTACATGCGTGTGCATATGCACCTGAACACCCACATGTACCCACCAGGAGCATATGCCTCCACAACCTTCCCACAGAATATGTATGATACTTACACATGCTATCCTGAAGCTTGTGTTCCTCTGATTGGGACCAAGGGTTCTAGTCTTCAAGGGTTCGGAATCCATTTCTTCTGTTATTTGATACCTGCTAGTACAATCTCCAAAGCTCCATATAATGTGTTCCACAGCTGCTTTGTGTTACATGTTCCTTTGCTGCTCTGGCCTCGGCCTCTTTCACTCAATGTGCTGGAACTCTGGTCACTCTATGTACTTGTCCTCTCTGACCCAGAGTGTCTTTGACCTTGGCTCTGTGGGGTGATTGCGCACCTCTTCTGGTCCCGACCTTAGTATTTCCATTCTGGGATCTCTTCTACTTCGTGAGTTTTCCTTGGGACTTTAGCCCTGCTCATGTTCTGACACTGCCAGCAACTCCGCTCTGAAGAACGTGTGCCTTTCTCCTGACTTTTGGTAAAAGGAAGCAGAAGCTACAGTGTGCGTAGGGCCTGCTTGCTGGTGCAGCCTCCTGGCTCTCGCTGTTGGCTCCTGGTGCTGCCTCTCCCTGTCTGAGTGATCGCTGTGTAGTTATTTCAGATGGCTGTTTTATAGACAACCTTTCTGTTTTGAAATATTCTTTCCTGTTTGCAAACCAGCTTTTCTTAAAAGTGGGCTGCTGCCTTATGCTAACTTATTCCACTTTAACAATAAGATGTCTTGTTTTCCCCAGACTTTTTCAAAACCCGAGAATTGAATTTCCAGAAATGCCAAACCACCACATTTCATCTTGACTAATTTGTCATGTGGGCTGGCTTCCTGCTGCAAAATCAGCATGGATTCCCCCCGCCCTTTCTTTCTGTTTTTAAAGAGATAGAAGAACGGTATGATTTTTTAACAGATACTTAACTGTGCTTTTTTAGCAACCTACCAAAATCCTGCCACTCCGTGCCCCCAAGACAGATCCGGAACTAAACGTCAATTTCTTTTCCAACTACATTTGGAAGACCAGGTCTTCCTGTGGCCTGGGTGCTGGGCTGCATTCCTGGGCTTGCTCCTCAGGCTGCAGAGGAAGCCTTCCTGAATCTCTGGGAATGTGCCTCAAAGTTATCTGTGAAGGAAGGGACTTAATGTCACTTGATTCAAACTCAGTCACTGTCCAGTTCTGCAGTTAGCTGTGGGAACAGGGCCTGCTGTTGCATCCCAGGTTTACTTTGATTTTCCTGGGGTAGCTTCCCTGTCTGAAGAGCGAATCTTGGAAGACAGAGCTTTGGCATTCCTCCTTCTGTCCCCACGGCTGCAGAGGCGGCAAGGGCAGTGTTGCCATTTCATTGCCAGGAGTGAAAAGAAAATGGGACACAATTCTATTTTGCTTTCAAATAAATAAAATTTATAGTACAGTGATGATTTCATGTACATTAAAAGTTTTTATTTTATTTATGCGTCAGTTTGTGTGAATGTTTGCCACATATGTGCAGGTGCATGTGGAGGCCAGAGGAGGCGCCAGAGTCCCCCTAAAGCTGGAGTGACAGGTGGTTGTGAACCAAATGACTTGGGTCCTGGGAACCGAAATCAGATTCTCTTAAAGAACAGCAAGAGCTCAAAACAGCTGAGCCATTGCTCCAGCCGCTTATGTACATGTTCTTTTTGATGAAAGGGTTTCCCACGTGTGTATGTGCCATCTTGTGTAGCACACTGTTCTTATATATAGAATGCTGACGTCAAATTCTACTATCACGGTGCTTTGTAAGATTTTCTTTTCATAATCTAGTCATGGTGGCACACACCTTTAATCCCAGAACTCTAGAGGCAGAAGTAGGTGGATCTCTATGAGTTCAAGGCCAACCTGGTCTACATAGTGAGTTCCATGGCAGCCAGGGCTCTAATGTGAGTCCCTGTCTCAAAAATAGACAGTAACAAAATGAAACAAATAAACAAAAAAAATAGCTTTTCACCCCTATGAATTTGTTTGTTTTTGAGATAGGGGTATCATGATAACCAGCACTGATGTATATCTTCAGTATGGACTGGGCTTGCACTCACTGTATAGCCCAGAGAAGCCTCAAACCTGTCATCCTCCTGCTGCAGCCTCCCGAGTGCTAGGACCAGTCACATGCCACCAGGTACCACCATTCCTGACCTTTAGATACTTTTGTAGATGAAAATATCATGGACTCCTGCATTGTGAAGGGTACTGAGCTATCCATACTATATACAAGGAAATATTGGAGATCATATTTTTCTTCATTTTTATAACACTCCTTTAAAAAGTGTGATTTCTATTTCTGAAGACATACTGGAGTAAGATTACAGTTAAAATGAAAATAAAAACCAAACACATATCTCTGTGTCTTTGCCTTCACAAATTCTTGGATTTTTTTCTATGTGCCTTTGGGAGTGTGGGGTAATTACACAGTCCCTTAAGGTGCTCTGAGGTGTCTGCCCTCTCTCATATTACCTGTTGGCAGTTTGAGCTGTAGTTTAGGTGCCTTGTCTTATGGCTAAGCACAACTACAGTCTTTTTCTGATGTCCATGAGAGCAAAATTAATTAATTTGAGCGTAGTTTCCTAAAAACAATACAACTGGGAGCAAATACTTTTTTGTTTGTTCTTATAAGGTTGATTTATTTCTTTTATGTGTGTGTCTGAGTGTATGTATGTGCACCACATGCATGCAATGCCCATGGAGGCCAGAAGAAGATACTGGATTTCCTGCAACTAGAGTTACAGGTGCTTGTCAGTCTTTATAAGGATGCTGGAAACTGGATTCAGGTCCCCAGCGAAAGCAGCGAGTGCTCCTAATCCCGGAGTCATCTTCCCTGCACTGAGAACAAACGTGTGTGTCTTAGTCAGTGTTCTATTGTTGTGAAGAGGCACCATTACCATGGCAACTCTTGTCAAAGAGGCTTAGTCCATTACCACCATGGCAGGAAGCATGGCGGCACACAGGCATGCTTCCCGCCATGTTGCTGGAGATGTAGTTGAGAATTCCACATCCTGATCCACAGGCAGCAGGGAGAGAGAGAGCTGGGCCTGGCTTGGGCTCTTGAAACCTCAAATCCCATGCCCAAAGGACACACTTCCTCCAACAAGACCACACCTCCTAATCCTTCTCAAATAGTGCCACTCTCTGATGACTAAGCATTTAAATATGTGAGTCTGTGGAGGCCATTTTTATTCAAACCACCACAGTGTGTTTCCCCTTTTTGTGTAGAGTAAGAAAACCACTTGTGTCACTCTTTCTAAAACTGTTTAGCTGTCTGTGCCTGGTGTGGTGGCGCACACCTTTAATCCCAGCACTTGAGAGACAGAGGCAGGTAGATCTCTGTGAGTTCGAGACCAGTCTGGTCTACAAAGTGAGTTCTGGGACAGCTAGGGATGTTACACAGAGAAACACTGTCTCAAAAAAAATTGTTTAGCTGGAGAGATGGCTCAGCAGCTAAGAACAAATACTGCTCCTGCAGAGGACCCAAGTTTAGTTCCCAGCACCTACATGAAACAACTTAAAATCATCTGTAAAACTCTCAGGTTTCTGTGGGCACAAGGCATGCACATGGTGTATGTAAACTCACACAGACATACACCTAAATAAAAAAAAATCTTAAAAAAAAATCAAGCGGTGGTGGTGCATGCCTTTAATCCCAGTACTTGGGAGGCAGAGGCAGGTGTATCTCTCAGTTCAAGGGCAGCCTGGTCTACATAGTGAGTTTCAGAATAGTCAGGGCTACACTGAGATATCCTATCTCAAAAAATGAACAAATCAACTAAACAAACAAAAAATTGTTTAAAGTCATCAACAGTAGTTCTTTGGATTACATATCGTGTTTAGTCATCATATATCCAAGGTTAAAGATTAATTCTGGTTGGCAGCGTTGGGGGTTTCCCACCCACTGTAGGGGTTATCCCCCCTTTCCAGGCAGGTGGTTCCAGGTTGTATAAGAAAGAAAAGTAGGTGACCCTGAACCTGGAGAAGGCCAGTGCACAGCATTCCCTGTGGGCTCTGCTTCAGGTCCTGCCTCCAGGTTCCTGCTTGGGCTCCTGTTTTGGCTTCTGTCAGTGATTGAGCTGTAAACTGTAAGCTAAGCAAATTGTCTCCTTCCCCAGGTTGCTTTTGGTCATGGTGTTTATCACAGAGACACAGACTAGCTCTCCTTTAAACCTATAGAATATGCTGGGGATGTAGGTACTGAAGGGAAGGATCAAGTGGATGGCACTACATTTCTGAGACTAGACACTAGTGACAAGGTGATAGATAACCATTTTGTCTGTAAGTTTGGGTTATTGTGTGATGGTGAGGAATTGATCTAGAAATCCTTTCCTCACTAAAACATGAGAATTAACTATTTAATCCATTTCCTATTCAAGTGACCAAACACCAGCTCATCAGCTTCTAGACTTCTGCTGTAGACCTGATGATGTCTACAAAGATGCTTTTACCAGAGTCCATGTAACTCCTGTGATCTTTCAGATACACCAAAGAGGGTCATTGAGCTACTTGGGTAGAATAAGGTAAAGACCGTCTCAGATGCTTCAAAATGTGTAGACATTCTTGTTGTAGCTCTCATATTAAAGTTGGGTCGTAAGCCCTAAAACCATGTAATTATTATAATTCATGTTATGGTTGAGTAAAGAGATAACTTTCTAAAAGCAAATTACACTGAGAATTCACTCAAGAGATTAAAAGGGTTAGTGAAGTTTAGTGTAATCTTCTGCTCTGTTTTGAATAAATTTGCCCCGTCTTGCTGATGCTCAGTCCTTCTTATGAACAATTAAAAGGGTAGAAACTTCATGTGACTGTGGTCTCCATGCAGGGAACTTTGGAAAGTGATCAGGACTGGGTAAGACTGAGCCCTGATGGGTTTCTGCAAAGATGGAGAGACCAGAAGAGGCACACACGCATGCTTCCTGTCTCCTACCACGTTACACTTGGCCTCACTCCCGTCAGGACTTGGTGGCTGTCTCCTCACATGACCTTTGACCTGGGCAGAGCTATGAGCTCCAATAAGCCTTCTTTGTTTATAACTTCCTAGTCAGTGGGATTCTGTTATTAGCAATAGCGATTGGATTAGACATGCGGAGGTGAGACCTTCACAGGCATTGGGTTTACTCACATCTTCATCTTAAGTCTCAGGAATTGCTTGGCTGCCTAACAGCTATGTGAGTTAAAAACACCGGGCCTCGATGTTTCTCATGTGTAAAATGGAATGGCAGGGCTGAGTGAGGTGTGGAAGTGAGGGAGACTGTAACCTTCAGTCTCCTGCACATGGGGATGCTGCCAATAGCCTCTCTATTCTGAGAGCCACAAACCCAGTCACAGCTAGAGCTGTTTGTGGACCCTTTGGTCCTGGTGATAGCACTCAGATATTGTGTTCTATGTGCATCCACGCCACGTTCCCCACCCCTCTGAGAACTCATTCAGGACAGCTCAGGCCTTATTCATGTCTGACGTCTAAATGTTCCCGATGTACGATGTTCAGCTAATAAAGGAAGGAGCCCAGATCCTTTTACTTCAGATATTTTTAAAATCATTTTTTTAAAGGAAATAGTTTGAAAGAGTATAGATACCAGACTCCCCCCACTCCCCCTTCTTTGGCTGAAAAAGAAAGAATGTGTCCCCCACAGCCCTTTGGCTAGAGGGAGACTTTTAATAAAGATCATTAGAAATGTACTATTAAATGTCAAACTCTCTATAAATTAGCATGGCTTGTGTGCTCCAGGAGAGATCTCAGGGTTTTTCCCCCCTTGTATTTTTCTCTTCAAAATAGCTTAGCATTTGCTTTAACAACATTTTTGGTTTAGCCAACTGATGGTTGATGATTTTATTGAATAAAGTTCACTAGTTTCATATCAACATGAGATTGCTGTGTGATTTTTTTTCTCTTTCTATTCTAAATTGGAACCTTATGGACACTTAACCTAGAAACACATGCCAATGTGATTTATATTTAGAAAATTTCTTTTCATATTATTAACAAAATCACTATTGTGTTCCAATCTCTGTTCTCTGAGGATAAATCTTTAGCAAATCACTTCCTGCCACTTGGTACCTCAGAGCCCAGACAGCCTAAAGCTGAACAACATTCATCAGCAATGCAACTCAGAAGAGAAAAAATGCTTCCCATTTCTCCTTAAACGGTGGGAGGGAGGCAGGAGGGAGAGGAAGGAATTTTAGAACTTGCCTTCTCCATGCCTGAGGAAGACAGCTCAGATTAATTACTAGTGCCTTAAATAAGAAACAGGAAGAGATGGCCTCCATGGAGAGAGGTGCTCTACTCTGCCTCGAACATTTGGTACTTATCCTTCAGCTCCAGGCTCAAAGAGGAAGTTTGACAGAGCTGAAAAAACACATCAGGCCTGGCCGGCTTTAAAAAGCGAAACTAGAACCCCCTGTTTTCAGGCCCATATGCACTCTTTTTCTCTAGAAAACAATCCTAGAATGTTCCAGAAGGTTTAGTGAATGTGTGTTTCTGCGCTGTTTCCTCTCCCCAGATACAACATGTTTAACCAATTTAGTTTACAAAGGAATTCAAGTTTTCCCTAGCTTGCTTTACTCAACTCTAACTTAGGGATCATAAATATGTTTATGTCTCCTGGGGAACATTCTCTTGTTCTGCATTTTGAATATGTGCTGTCCAGATGTGTTTTTTACCTCCTCCCCTTTGAGAGTTCCTCTGAGCAAGAACATCACAGTGGAACACAGTGGGTCCCTGATTCACATCCACAAGATGCCAGGCAGCTTGGTGGACGAGTATGTCTTTTGTTAGGGCAGACAAGAATCTACCTCTTTCCAGTGCAAAAAACTAATAAAGGAGATGCTGAGGGTTTGGGGGTGCTGTGGGAGCGATGCCAGGCTGACTTAGGTCCTGTAGGGGCTTGGGGGTGCTGGGGAGCAATGCCAGGCTGACTTAGGTCCTCTGAGAGTTTGGGGGTGCCGTGGGAGCGATGCCAGGCTGACTTAGGTCCTCTGAGGGTTTGGGGGTGCTGGGGAGCGATGCCAGGCTGACTTAGGTCCTCTGAGAGTTTGGGGGTACTGTGGGAGCGCTGCCAGGCTGACTTAGGTCCTCTGAGGGTTTGGGGGTGCTGTGGGAGCGATGCCAGGCTGACTTAGGTCCTCTGGGGGTTTGGGGGTGCTGTGGGAGAGATGCCAGGCTGACTTAGGTCCTCTGGGGGTTTGGGGGTGCCGTGGGAGCGCTGCCAGGCTGACTTAGGTCCTCTGGGGGTTTGGGGGTGCTGTGGGAGAGCTGCCAGGCTGACTTAGGTCCTGTGGGGGTTTGGGGGTGCTGTGGGAGCGATGCCAGGTTGACTTAGGTCCTCTGAGGGTTTGGGGGTACTGTGGGAGCAGTGCCAGGCTGACTTAGTCCATCATTACCTGTTCCTGGATGCTCACGTTCAGGCTCTTTGTGACTTTTAAATGCTCATTATTGGGGTGCAGTCGCAGGAGCCTGGAGGGCTGCCCTCCTGGTCTCAGCACTGTCACTGTGCAGTGGCTGCCGTATGTGGGAGAAACGGTGCCGTGTGGGCTCAGATCTTGGGAACTTCTGTGGCCTGATTCAACAGTAGGAGTAAGGTAATGGTGGCTCCCTGCCCACTGCAAGGACTGACCCTTGTTAAAAAAGAAGAGAAGGGTTTCTTTCTTTTTCCTTCTTTCTTTCTTCTTCTTTTTAAAGGAAATACTTTAAAGGGAAGCAGTTGGTCTGGGAAGCCATGTAATTTCATGCATAATTGTCTAATAAAGGGGAAATTGACAACTCTGGCCAATGGTGAGCACAGTAGGACTCTTTGTATGCCTTTGACTGCCTTTTTTTCTTGTTCTCAGAGTTTGCCTTCCTGAGCTTCGATAAGGGTGGTGTCTGTGGTTCTTGGGCTCAGATCTTTTCTATAGAACACCTCAAGAGACACAGGCACTGCTGGCTTTCTGTGGAAGGTGCTTCACAACCCTGAGTTATAAATTCAAACTTATTGTACTTGAGAAGCAATAAAACAACAACAAAAGGAGAAAACTTTGGTTTCTAAGCATTGGCCATGCACCTGCTGAATGGTGCTCTGCCAGTTTCTTAACCCTTGGGAATCTCCATTCTGTCACTTACTCCATTCTGTCCTCACTGTGGGGAGCAAACGGGACAGTGTTTCACAGGAACATGTTAGGCAGCCAGAATGGATCTGTCATTGTCTTCTCTAAAATCACGGCACCCCCAAACCCCCACAGGACCTAAGTCAGCCTGGCAGTGCTCCCACGGCACCCCCAAACCCCCACAGGACCTAAGTCAGCCTGGCATGGCTCTCACAGCACCCCCAAACCCTCAGAGGACCTAAGTCAGCCTGGCATCTCTCCCACGGCACCCCCAAGCCCCCAGAGGACCTAAGTCAGCCTGGCATGGCTTCCACAGCACCCCCAAACCCTCAGAGGACCTAAGTCAGCCTGGCATCGCTCCCACGACACCCCCAAACCCTCAGCATCTCCTTTATTAGTTTTTTTGCACTGGAAAGAGGTAGATTCTTGTCTGCCCTAACAAAAGACATACTCGTCCACCAAGCTGCCTGGCATCTTGTGGATGTGAATCAGGGACCCACTGTGTTCCACTGTGATGTTCTTGCTCAGAGGAACTCTCAAAGGGGAGGAGGTAAAAAACACATCTGTTACAAATGGAGCCCCTCATAATCAGTGCAGTGTGAATTGTAAAGGAAGAAATGTATAGGTAACTGCAGAATTTGAGAACAGAGGTGGGGGGAGAGAGAGAAAGAGAGAGAGAGAGAGAGATTGAGAGAGAGAGAGAGAGAGAGAGAGAGAGAGAGAGAGAGAGAGAGAGAACAATACTAAGCAAGAAAATGAATTTTTATTCTTCGATAATCATTTGCTGAAAGTTGATAACACAGAATGAATAGGTAGACCAGTGAGCTACACATCACTCCATAGAAATAGTTCATAACTCGATTAATATCATTGGCTTGATATTAACAATCTGTTGTCCTTTGTTTATATTCTTGAGACAAGGTGGTCTAGCACTTACCAAGGAGCCCAGGCTGGCCATGGCAATCCTTCTGCCTCAGTCCTGAGTGCTGGGATTACAGGTGTGTTTTAACATGCCTGTCTACTGTTTCACCTCTACTTAACTTTTTTTTTTAACTGTGTACGTGCCACAGTACATGTGTGGAGGTCAGAGGTCAGAGGTCAGAGGTCAGCTTTTGAAGTCTATTTTCTCCTTTTACCACTTGGATCCCAGGAATCCAACTCAGCTAGTTAAGCTTGGCAGCAATCCATAGGCCTTTATTTTCCTTTTCAACAGATAACACGGTTTCTATTTGGAGCTCTCAATCAAAATCCTTAAGTTAATATGCTCAATAAAATCTGGAAATTTGCTTAATTTTCACCACAAAGGAAACGATGACAAATTTATAAAAATAGAAATAGTCTAACAGCGTTTCTTTTCTTTCTCTCCCACCACTCATCTCTCTCTTATTTTTAGGTGAGTGAAGGTCCAGATGCAGTGAGTCTCTGGAGAGGCACTGGCTCAGTGTGGTGGAGTTAAGGCTAGGCCTTAGCCTTCCTCAACTGGAAATTCTCAGCGTTCAGAGGTAAAGGAAAAATTAATTAGCACACAGCCGTAGCCTCTACTATTACTCAAAGAGAACTAGACTCCATCAGAAATGTTTTATGGTTTGTGTAGGGTTAGGCATTGTTATAACCATCTTGGGGTGGTCTTTGTATGTCCCCAGGAAGATTCTTCTGGGGCTAGTCAGGTTCTACAGGAGCCGAGGTTTGTGTTTTTAGTTAAGACAGTTGTGTCTTAGCAAATAGAACTTGCTGTCTATGAGGGTATTGGTGGTGCTCACTTCTCAAGCAAGAAGAGCAGATGGCACCCTCTTCAGGAAGAGGAGGGGGAAGGCAGGTTCAGAAGAGAAGTCCGCAGCTCAGTGCCTGTACTGCTGTCTCAGATCCTGTGTAACCTTGTATTTCCCGACTCAGCTTGTTAGTCATTTAATTAATGTTAAAGCTTGCTGCTTTCCTGTTGTGGAAGATTACGTTAACTATGTAAAGATGTGTTACATTTGTTTATACTGCATTTGTTTAATTATGTAGAGATGTGTTACTGTTTCACCTTGCTTGCCTAAGGCACCTGACTGGTCTAATAAAAAGATGAATGGCCAATAGCCAGACAGAGGAGGGATAGGTGGGGCTGGCAGGCAGAGAGAATAAATAGGAGGAAGAATCTAGGCTTGTTCTAGAGAATGAGAGGAGACAATGAGGGAGGAAGAGGGGAGCTGCCTGGGGTCAGGCAGCCGCCAGCCAACCAGACAGAGTAGGACACACAGAATGAAAGAAAGGTAAAAAGCTCCGAGGCAAAATGTAGATGAAGAGAAACAGGTTAAATTAAGTTATAAGAGTTAGCACGAAGCTAGCCCAAGCTAAGGCTGAGCATTCATGACTAATAATAAGTCTTCATGTCATGATTTGATAGCTGGTTGTTGGTCCCAAAGGAAGTCTGCTACACTTTCACTCTCTTTCAGCGGGGCTGGCACTTCATCCGTGTGTGAAGCTGGCTTCTGCTCCTCACTACAGACCAGTGCTACAGTCAGGTGGTTATTTGTGCTTTTGTCCTGTACTACGAATTATAACAGGAAGAGCTAATGTCTTCTATAGACGTAGGAACTCTTAATCATGAAGCTATGTGTGATCACATGTGGATATTCACACCGAAATTTTTTTTTTTTTTTTTTTTTTTTGGTTTTTCGAGACAGGGTTTCTCTGTGTAGCTTTGCGCCTTTCCTGGAGCTCACTTGGTAGCCCAGGCTGGCCTCGAACTCACAGAGATCCGCCTGGCTCTGCCTCCCGAGTGCTGGGATTAAAGGCGTGCGCCACCACCGCCCGGCCTCACACCGAAATTTTTATGTGTGAGTTTTGTTTCAAGAAGGCTGTGGGCTGAGGTTGCTCAAGCGTCTCTGCTTGTGCTTTCTCCCATAAATGTGATCCTTTCTGGACTTGACTTTGCTTTTCTTTGGGAAGAGAATTTTCATGTGTGTGGAGGACTTGAGACATAGTGTGTATTTCTGGGACTTCCAGAGGCAGTTTAGGAACACTGAGAGACTTACTGTTCCATGCTATCTTGGTTCTAAACCATGGGAAGAGTCCGAGGCTTAACTGAGACTATTCTTAGATCTGACCTGATCCTTACAGATATGCTGTAAGTGACAAACCCCAGTGGAAGCCGAGATACTGAACCAGCTAGCCTCAACAAGAGCGGATGCATGCTCAGGGGTTTAGTCCCACCGTGGATAAGTGTGACCTGCTGCTGTTTTGGAGTCAGGAGGTGACCTTACTCAGAAAGCTCTCTATCCTGGCCATCATAGGATAATTATTACCTGTTCCACATTTAATGTCCTACATTGCCTCAGGAGGCGTGATAAAGTGCCCAGCCACCACTGGTTTAGGGAGCCTTGCCATCAGGAGCACAGGCTGGGTGCGCAGACACCAGCATGTCTGTCTGCCTTCCTGGAGGGTTTTCCGAGCTGGAAGGACCTTTGCTTTCACTAGTGTCTGTGGTTGTTGGTGATGGTAATCCTTCTGTTTACCCAAGGTGACTGATCTGAGATCCGTGTTTACCTGTGGTGAAGGCATCTGAGCCTGTGAACCTGTGTTCAGTGTTTGCAAAGAGAAGGGTGGGACAGGTATTTGGGGGCTTTCCAGTATGGGGTAAAAGACTTGGCTGAGGGGCTCTCCCAGTGGTGTTTGAAGCACTCACTGGGTCCCATTTTTGGCATTTTATACTTGGCAATGATGTGAGAAGTGAATCTAATTTCTCCTTTCGCCCCATGTAGACATATGTTGGTGTCCTGATGGCCTGTGGGACCTTGTTTGAGTGTTTGTCACACCTTCTTTCCTTCTGCCCACAGCCAGCCACTGATGCAACTGAAGCCAAGATCAGCCGCAGCGGCATGTTCTGAAGAAATTAGTTCACAAAGTGTACTAAATTGGAAATGCTAGTTAAACACTACACAGTATTATCTATGTTATACAGGATGGGCAGTGGCCAAGACTATCTACCCATCTATCTGTCTGTCTGTCTAGCACCTATCTACCTATACTCTATCAATCTACCTATTATCTATCAATAATTTATCTATCTGTCTATCATCTATCTATCTATCTATCTATCTATCTATCTATCTATCTATCTATTATTAGTCATCAATTTGTCCATCCATCCACAATGAAGATGGAGACTGGATGCAGAATTTTGTTTTTGTTTTTTGAGACAGGGTTTCTCTGTGTAGCTCTGGCTGTCCTGGAACCCATTCTATAGACCAGGCTGGCCTCAAAGTCACATCTGCCTGCTTTTGCCTCCTGAGTGCTAGGATTAAAGGCATGTGCCAACATCACCTGGCAGATGCAGAATTTTTTAAGAATACGGGCAAGCCTTGATTTTGTGACTCATTTGTCTTTCTTACCCACATCAAGATTATCACAGAATCAGTCTTTGAGATTGAAGGAAAGGTTTGGAGAGCCATCTGTGTGCTAAGTCTTTTCTCAGCTGCAGGAGAGTGCTGTGAGTGCCTGCCTTTTACCTAAAGTCCAGGGAAGTACACCAGAAGGGGACACACTGAAGATCCTACTGTGTGCCCTGAGCAGTTTAGTGAGTCCAGTGAACTTGTGTTTAATCCCACTGTGAATCCAGAGGTGGAACAAAGGTGGAAAAGAAAGATAAAGCTTTAACCATTATATGACCCTAGACATTTTTATCTGAACCCAAGACTGCTATGATGTCTTGAAATGCCCACTGTTTGCATTTCATAAAAGGGATCAGAAAATTAAAGTGTAGGCCACATTTTCACCTGAAGTCACAGGAAGAGACGGCCCTACAGAACACATTTAAACGGGCAGTGGGAAGTCAAAAGAAGTCTGCTTTCTGATGCTCTCAGTGATTCCTGCCCTTCTAGTTCACATTTACAGTAGTGCAATTCTTGATTTGAAACAAACACACTCGGCTCATCCTATTTCTCCCCCAGGGATCTGCCGATCCCTATGATGGTTTACTAGAGTCTCCTGTACATGTGTTGGCTTTTGTTTTTGTTGTCATACAGTCCCTAGGAAGCATTCCAAAAGTTTGAACCATATTTTCAAGTGGGTGCTTGATATTGGAATCTGTCTTTTCCGCATGACTTCTCTTTGTTTTCATGACTTTCCCATCGTCATTCATTGGTGATTGTCTCAGATGACTTGGGCACATAGTTATCAGTAGACAAGCAATAATTGTCCCACAGACCTATCCTTCACAAATACAGTTATTTTTCCTCGCAGTTAAGTGCTGCTTCTGTTCCTAAACTGTCCTTTAAAACCTCCTGTCAAAAAAGCAAATGCCCAGCATTCTTTGTCTAGACAGTGCAAGTGAAGTTTATTAACTTCATGCTTACTGAAATGTAGTTGAAATTGGTATTTCTTCAGTTCATATATGAATAAATACTCTTGAGGAATTCCTGAACATAAGTCTTCTAACAGCAAACAAAGGAATAATTGAGAAGAATTGAGCACACAATGAGAACTGGGAAATGAGTTATAGGGGTATTCCTAATCTGAAAGTCTAAAACTGAGTTTCTTTAAAACTCCAAACATTTTGAGAAACAGCATGATACTGCCATGGAAAATTCCACAGCAGGCCCCATGTGACCAGCCTTGGCTAAAACGCAGGTGCACAGAAAATATTGCACCAAATTACCTTTAGGCTATGTGCATAAATTGCAAATGAAACGTAAGTGATTTCCCTGGCTCAGCTTGTGTTCCATTCCCAAGACAGCTCATTATGTATGCAAATATTCCAAAATCCAAGCAAATCTGAAATCTGAAACACTTCTGGTTCCGAGCCCTTTGGATAAGGGATGCTAAATGTGTATTAACAACAGATGGCAGATGATGGATGGACGGAGCGTTGGGGCTGCCGTCCAACCCCGCCTCACCGTGAATCAGTGAAGGACCACCTCAGGAAATCCTTTTACACAAAAATCCATCAACTCTTTCCTGTGATGGGCTCATGTTTTGTGATTTTTCTGGGTCCAGTTGTTCTTTCCTGCCTCCCCATGTGGCTTTGCATGTTGCTCAGGTTGGCTTCAAACTTCTAGACCTACCTAAGTCTGCTGAGTGATGGGATTACAGGGATGTGGCCCTACCCTGCACTTCTGTCATCTTGAGAGCTACATGGCTGCAGCTCAGCTGCTTGGGGAGCTGCTGATGCCTCATGCCATCCAAACTGGCCCAGTACCTGGTCCTGCACAGTACCTGGTCTGCTGCAGTACCTGGTCCTGCCACAGTGGCCACCATTCTCACAGACCAAAGAGACTCCATGTATCATATTAACTGATGGGTAGTAGTCCTGCCCTGGGGATCTGGTTGGTGAGACCCATGAGAGTGGTTTTCTCAGTGACTGGCGAGTAGGTACATATAGAGGAAGTAATCATTTGGCAGAACCTCTGGGGTCTGCCTTCCCTACAGGATGCCCCATAAATTAAAAAAAAAAAAACATTATGTATCTGATTTATCCAAATCTTTGCATCTTTGTTTTCTTTGTCTTGGTACTCACAGCAGATACCAAGAGTCTTTGGAAGGCTTCTGGCAGATGAGGGGAGGTCCACAATGCCTAGGCATAGCTTCAGGACACCCTTCTGGGCATACATCCCAGGCTGCAGCCTCAGAAGTGGGCATCATCACTGGGCAGGAGCTTCCCCAGGCCGTGCAGGAGGGCTGGCCGCTCAGTTCCGCTGCAGCGTGTGCAGCCCCACGTACTTACTGTTCCTTTAGGTTGTGCCTTGTAGTCAGGGCTGGAATCTGTCTGGAAACATGGCTCCCCTCAGGACTCTGCCCCTTGCTGGGGAGTGGACCATGGAGATCCAGGGAATCTCCCAGCAGTCACTTAGCTTTTTCCATCTGTTACCAGCTCTGTTCTGACGGGTTTTACTTGCTTGCTTGTTTGTTTGTGTCTAAAAGAACATAGTCCAGTGTAAACAAACAAACAAACAAAACAAGTGGAAGAGGGAGCATGGAAACTGTGAGCAATCTGATAGAGACATTTCTGGAGTTACTAAGGAAATTAGAGGAAGGTTGCTCTGAGAAAAAACGTAATTTTTGTTCCTTTAAACGCTGATTGTCAAGGAAGGCTTCATAAAGCATTGCTCAATATTTGGAGAAAATGTGGAATCAGAGAAAGATTTCCCCAGAGCCGTTCCAGCTGTTCTCCAGCAGGACCCAGAGCCTCACTTGCTGGCCTAGGCTGAGCAGTAGCCATTTAGGACAAGCATTCTCCCGTGCTAACCTTTAATATTTTAGCACTTATTTTTAGTAGCGTATATTGATTGTATAAGACAATGGGTTTCACTGTGCACCTGAGGCTCTGTGGCTGTGTTCAGCTCCTCTGCAATGCCAGCATTTTTGTGGCTAGGAGAATGAAACAGGCCTGTTTTAGTTTAGAAGGCAGCAGCAGGATGATTCTGGATCGCCACATCCTCAGCAAACCATCACAAGAAGTGTAATCTCAGAATTTCATCCAGACTTCTTGGGAGTTTCATGATCTAGCGTTTCCACATTGCTATCAGTTGTCTGATCCTTGAGCCTTTTAAAAGTAAAGGCCATTTTTATAATCAGGAAAACCCAGAACCCAACTGAGGCTGAGATCTTCCTGATGAAACGGCGATTTCATTTTGAAACAATTGCTGACAGTTCAGAGCTTCCTGACCCCTAGCTCTCCATAGTTTTGGATGGAAAAGAGAATAGCAACAGTCTTGTTAGGAAGAATCTGAACATCTCTTTGATGTAGTGGAGCTGGAGCCCAGACCTGCAGACTCTAAGTTACTCCGTGGCTGCCAGCCAGTTGGCTCACACTGGGCTTCGGGGAGTCTGAGCTTTAAAAATAAGTAATTCCTTTCTTCCCTGGGGTAGAGGTAGACTTAATTAATTTGTAATTTGTAATATACTTTGAAGAATAAAAGGACTTTCTAGAAACACTAAACACTGTTACAACTTCTGTGTTTGTAAGCAAACTATTAACACAATTGAGGTCGTTTACACATCAAAAATCAAGGGAGGCTTCTCCGTGTTCTGGTTCATTTGATAAATGCAGAAAGACGTAATTCATTTTGTGAAGTTGACCTGTCCCCTCCCAGAGGAAGAGGCACTCTGGAATAAACCAGTTTCCCTGTCCGCAGTGTTCAGATGAATCAAATGTCTGTAAATCTCTATTTTTTATTTTGTAGATACAACATTTACAAATGTATCACAGTACACTGTTTTTGCTCCTAAAACAAAACCAAAAACACTTCAGAGTAGGCCCTTCTGCAGACAGACCAAAGTGTTGCCAGAGTCAGGGCACTCAGACAGAATATGGAAGGCTTGATTAATCTGAATTTCAGAAAAACAACAGGTAATATTTTAGTATGTTATGAAAGAACACACTGGAGAAAGAAATTGTATTCTATTTCATACAAGGGAATATAACACAACAATGAAACAAATGCAACTCTGTCCAAGACAGAGATGAACTCTAGAAGCATACGGCGAAGGAAGGCAGGTTAATGAAGAATGGGCGGCGTGTCTCATTTACGTGAAGCTTGAAAGGAGACCAAATAAAACTTCGGTTTCCTCAGCCCAGATGGATTCCCAGGGAGGGTTGTGACTAGGAGAAAGCGGGAGGGGACGGAGAGATTGTGATGCTGTGTCCCATGACCCCGGTGCTAGTTACACAGGGGTCTTCATTCTGTGAGAATTCAGCGAAGTTTCTCTAATATTCCTGAACACACTGAAATAAGAGAGGGTGGGGGATAAAAGAGGCTGCCTTAGCGCTATTCACAGACCCAAAAGATTTTAAGGGAGAAACTTGTCTTCATTACCCTGCTGTTACCGTGATAAAATCCTGACAAAAGCAATGTTGGGGTGAAGGGGTTGACTTTGGCTGATAGTTCCGGGGTGCAGTCCACCCACCATGGTGAGGAAGACATTGTTCCTGGCTTGTGTCCCTGCCTTTGGCTATCAGACTATTGAAGCAGTGGAATTTCCTGAGAGTGATCCCTACAAGAAGAGGTTGAAGCCCGATGTCAGCCGGAGGAGGAACTTGTCTCTGGGAGAAAGAAGCTTAACTTATCAGTGCAGGAGCTGAAATGGGACTGCGCCCTGCTAGACTGCTCAGTTGGTGAGTTTCCTGCCTTCTACTTAAACCGCACCCACAGGTCAGTGTAAGAAAGTGGTGTTAGGGTCCGGCTGCTGCTGGGGTGGCACAATACTTTGCAGCAGCCTTTCCCCCTTCACAGATGTGAGAGGTGCCCACTGAGATGCTGTCTGTGAATACCCAGTTAACCCACTTCTTGGGCCCACATCTCTCACTCAGGGAAGTGAGTTTTCATCGAAGGTGATACACCATCCTTGCCTCCTGCCTGGAAAGCAGAGCTGGCTGGAGGCTCCTGCTGTGTACCCAGCTTCATCCTTAATGAGCTGTGGTTCTCAACCTGTGGGTCACAACCCCTTTGTGGGGCCCTTTCACAGGGGTCAAATATCAGATATTTACAGTATGATGCCTAACAGTAGCAAAATTATAGTCTGAAGTAGCAACGAAGGTAATTTTATGGTTGGGGGTCACCACGATGGGGAACTGTATTAAAGGAAGGTTGAGAACCACTGAGCTAGAGATTCCCACTTCTGCCCAAAGGCCCCCATTTCCTCTCTTCAGCCATGTTTTTGCCTCTAGACAGAGAAGCAACATGGTGTTAATAACTTTTCTGGTAAACCCCTTCCTGCCCAGGAACCTGTCTCAGTGTCCTTCCTGGACCCCCGTCCTAGTCAGGGTTCTGTGCTGTGGTGGAGACCCCCTATCCTAGTCAGGGTTCTGTGCTGTGATGAAGACCCCTGTCCTAGTCAGGGTTCTGTGCTGTGGTGAAGACCCCTGTCCTAGTCAGGGTTCTGTGCTGTGAAGAAGAAGCACTGTGACCAAAGCAACTTTGGGAGCAAAGTGTTTATTTGGCTTATGCTTCCAAATCATGTGAGAGCCAAAGCTACATTTTAAGTTTCAATGACTGTGCCTAAGAGATCCATAAAACAAAAATGTCTCTAATCTGTGAGGCCCTTGCCCAAGGACAGGCACTCCTGAAATGCTGGAGGCTGTGGTGTATGTTTTTTAGCTGGAGGCTGTGGTGTATGTTTTTTAGCTGGAGGCTGTGGTGTATGTTTTTTAGCTGGAGGCTGTGGTGTATGTTTTCTGGCTGTGGTGTATGTTTTTCACTCTCCTAAACAAATTTCTTTGACCTATCTGTGCTGGATGTGCTTGATCGTGTAGGCAGTAGGTACATGGGCAGGAAATACATCAGGATGTATGCTTGCCCTGATTGGACCTGGTGGGAAATGTGGTGGCCGTACAGGTGTGCCTTTATCAACCTCTACAAAATATGTCTTGTCGCCATTTTCTGGGAACCCTGGAATGGACCTGGCCAGAGTCCATCGTCCTGGCCAGTATTTATTTAAAGCTTGCTTCATATTTGGCTCAAAAATTGTGGAACTGTCTTCCTCTTGTGATTTTCAGGTTCAATAATCAGTCTTCAACATTGGAGGAAGTCAGGACAGGAACTTAAACAGGGCAGGAACCTGGAGGCAGGAGCTGATGCAGAGGCCATGGAGGGGAGCTGCTCACTGACTTGCTACTCATGGGCCTGACTTTTTATAGAACCCAGGACCACAAGCCCAGGGCTGGCATCACCCACAATGGACCAGGCCCTCCCCATCAATAACTAATTCGGCAGTTCAGAGCATTGGTTGTTCTTCCAGAGGACCCGGGTTCAGTTCCCAGCACCCACATGGCAGCTTACAACTGTCTATAACTCCAGTTCCAGGAGATCTGATACTGTCATACCAATGCACATAAAATAAAAAAAGTTAAATAGATTAAAAAAAAGAAAAGAAAAGAAAATGCCCTACAGGCTTGCTTACAACCTGATCTTACAGAGGCATTTTCTTAATTATGGTTCCTTCTTCTCAGACGACTCTAACTTTTGTCAAGTTGACATAAAACTATCCAGTACATCCTCCATCTTAATCCTTTCAGTTAGGACCCTGAAGATAGATTTGTAGGATCTCTGGGGCCCTTTGTTCCTTTTGCCAGTGTGGTCACATTGAATTAATCTTCCTTTTCTATTTTTCACTATTAATTTGGCTCTTTTAATTGACTTCTAGGTGGCTGAGCTTGGCTTGTTGGAGGATAGCCTATAACCCTAAGCTAAGGGATAACACAGCAGAGGCAGGGAAGCATGGTGGCAGGAACTTGAGGCTGGCTGGTCACATTGAATCCATGCTCAGGAAGCAGAGAATGAACAGGAAGTGGGTCAGGGCTACTGAGTCTCAAGGTGACCTTGACCAACTCTAGTGACCTGCGTCTTCCATTTCACATTCAAATGGCAGCAAAACTTGAGGAAATAAAAAACTTGACAATTATTTAGCATGAACTCTATCTTACTCTTTGTATATATTTATTATATGAAATTAAGATGTCTAACACAATATCTACGTTTATTATATTAGTGTGTTTCTCTCAAATATTGAGTATATAATGAATGAATAACAACCTGGCTTTAATTGTTTGTTTATGTTTGTATTTATTTATATACTGAATAAGTTTTCACTGTTCAGTGGGGATGGAATGAAGCAGTAACCATTAGGTTTGATTGCAAATATCCAGTGCATAAATAGCTGGTCTATAAAATGAGTGAGACTGGGGACCATGTGCAGCGTGGTAACTGACTCCAGCAGAGTGAACTGTGAGAACACTTGGATGCAAGCTCGTGTGCACAAATGGTAAATATGTGCTTTGATACAATTATTATTGCCAATTATTCCTCAATCAAGCTGGGAAAAGCTAGGTTTACTCTGGAAGACTGCACGTATTTTCCAAGATGTAGCAGGGGTCTGGGGTGTGTCTCAATGGTAGACAACTTGCCTGCCATGAACCAAACTCTGTGTCTGATCCTTAGCATTGAAAACACCCAAACCAACAAACCAATAAACAAACAATCAAACGTTTTCCTGGATTAGATCTGTATTGTTGTAGACTTAAAATGAAACTGGGAGGCTGAGGTAGGAGGAACCCAAGTTTAAGATCAGTAGGGGCAACATAGTGACCCCCATCTCAACAAATCAACCACATATTGGCTTCCTCCTTCTTCTTCTTCTTCTTCTTCTTCTTCTTCTTCTTCTTCTTCTTCTTCTTCTTCTTCTTCTTCTTCTTCTTCTTCTTCTTTACAATTATTCGCTTGTGCACATATGGGTGGCCACCAAAGGACAGCTCCCGGGAGTTTGTTTTCTCCTTCTACTATGTGGGTTCCAGAGTCAGACTCAGGCTTAGAGGAGCGTTCTCCCACATGCTCCAAGCCTTCTCCACAGCTCCTTTTTTAGTCAGTGTTCTATTGCAGTGAAGGGACACCATGACCATGGCAACTCTTATGAAAGACAGTGTTTAACTGGGGCTTGCTTACAGTTTCAGAGGTTTAGTCCACTACTGCCATGGTGGGAAGCATGGCAGCACACAAGCAGACATGGTGCTGGAGAAATAGTGGAGAGTTCTGCATCCTGATCCACAGGCAGCAGGGAGAGAGAGAATTGGGCCAGGTGTGGGCTTTTGAAACCCCAAGCCCACTCCCAGTGACACATTTCCTTGTACAAGGCCACACCTCCAAATTCTTCTCAAATGGTGCCACTCCCTGATGACTAAGTATTTAAATATGTGAGCCTATGGGGACCATTCTTATACACAACACCACAGCATTACAACCTTGATTAAAAAACGATTTCAATATTCATTTCAAGTAATTTCTACTGAGTATTCTTAGCTGATAGGTCATCTTCATTTTTAGAAGCCTGATTTAGCTTTTTTGAAAACAACTAAGACCCATTTAGAACCAAGTTTGGTAAGTAAAAATGTAATTAAGTGAGATAATCTGCTTGGACAGAGGGAGTGATTAGTGAGAACTTTTAAAGAGCCTTTGTAAGCACTTGGGGCTTCATGAATGTGTTGCTGGGCATTGGAAGCATAGTCAGAACTGGTGGGCAGGGTCGCATGGTACAGTACGAGACAACACCCGTCTGCTGTTCTGGCTGTTGAGATGTTGTGCTAGTTCTCAGTACTGTCTTGTCCACTTCTCAGGACATGACGGAGTTCAACACATCACTGCTCACTTGCAAGGCCACTTTCCAGGTCCATGATTTCATAATTCAAACTTCTCTGATACTCTTGTCTTTGAAGGTGACACAGAGTCACCATTTTCAAAGGAGAATTCTTATAACTTTTAAAAAAGTGACTTGTGATGCCCCAAACAGAAGACTGCAGTTTCTGGGCAGAAAGAAGAAGGGCTTAAATACAGACCTAGGCTTCCGAAGCAGATCTGTTCTTGAACAGCAGCTAAGGAGCTGGCTTGCTGTCTTATCTCAAGGTGCTTACTAACCCTTTCCTAAAGCTGCATTTCCCTCACTCATAAAATGGGGACAAGAACATCTTATGCTTTAGGGGGGTTATTGTACTTAATAAAGACAGTGACACAAATAATTTAATAATAATGCTAGTCACGAGGAAGACATGTAATACAGACAAGAGAAGAGCAGTGTGCTTGGGTCTGAAATCCTGGAGCCTGGCAGTGTTAGCTATAGATAGCATAACGTTCTGGGTGAAGTGGAGGGCAAGCCTTGGAGAATAGGTTTGGAAGACAGCACAAGTCTGCTGGTGCCATGCCCTAAAAGTCGCAGAGTGTGGAAAACCTTGTCTTGCTTTCATTTAATTGTGTGTGTCCAAGGAAAGCTGAGATAGGAGTCGTACCTCCTATTGAATCCCATGAAATGTAAGGACCAGGCTAAGTGGCACCCCAGTTGTCCCAAGGGCTTATTAGGAGCTGGAGAGATGGCTCCTTTGGTAAAGTGACTGCCATGTCAACATGAAGACCTCAATCTGAATCTCCAGAACTCATTAGAAAAGCTGGTGGCAGCGTGTGTTAGTGTATGTGCATGCATTTGTATCTATGTATGTATATGCATGTGTATGTATTTGCCTACATGCCAGTCCACCATGTGCCTGGAGTGCTTATGAAGGTCAGAGATGGCATTAGATACACTGGAACTGGAATTACAGATATGATTCACCA